GTATGGAAAAAATCATTGCCCCTGTAGATCCTGATCAGCATAATCGGACAAATTTATTAAATTATTGTTTTGTCATGGGTCCTTGATAAGTGTGCAAAGTTTCAAGTCCATCCGTGAAAATCTATCATGCTTAAGTACAGTGTACAGGTCAAGCTAATAAAAGCGTGTTCAAAAATATTTTTGAACCAATTTGTTTTCGATCACGTGCTGTTATACCGCGTTACATCCACGAACATTGTAAACACAACTGTACCAACAATTCCACAATTTCCCCGTGACTTTTAATAGGTGCGCGTCGCGCGCCGCATGTAAATCACCCCACACCCACAAGCTTGCACATTCACCAACACCTGACTATTTACGGTATTCAACTCGTCTCCGCAATTCCCAGTCATTTTATAACTTTCCAAACTTCACGCAAAATTGTACCAAGTTTCATAAATAACTTCAATTCAGAGGCCATTTGGAATGTGAAATAAAGAAACTTTGTGTTTTAAATTCAATTTATTCTGTAACAATATATTATTATAAAATAAATGTATGAGTTTTAAATTTAAAACGTGTAATAAAAAATATTCACATATTGTTTCAGGTACACGTTTTATTAATAGCTACTTAGAACAAATTATTATTCTATATTACTTACATATTTAATGTAATGTGTCTAGTAAATATATGGCTACATGTTACAGCTGCTGATTTTAAATATTAAATATTAGTATTACATATCTAAATTATTTATATGATGTATTTAAAAGAATTGCCATAATTTTTAATACCTATTCGTTTTATTCAATGTTTAGCTTATTCGTTTATTATCCAGCAGTTATGAAAATAAATAAGGATTCAATGAAAAATAAATAATAGGATTATTTATTTGAAAAAATTATAATAGTAAAGTCCTATAGTTTAAATATTGGTGACTTTTTTGTAAGTTATTTTTTCGTAATTCTTAAATGCACGCCCAGAAGGGATTTGATTAGCACGGGTGCAATGTAGATACTATAGTAGAATTATTTTCTCCGTGCAGTTTGGGTCATAAACCATAGCTCGGCCCCGGCCCGGCTAGGGCGGTGAGCATGTTGCGCGGGCGCAACGCCATTATCGATAAGAACAAATGAGTCATCAAAGGCAGGTACACGGCGGCGGGGCGGTATACAAAGGTGGTGAGACATTGTTATGTTATGAGTCATTTGTTGTTCCCCACTGCTCAAAATTTTGAGTAGAGCAGTAGAAAGAATTGACAGATTCACTAACCCAAAAAATGACAAAACTAAATACACTATCGATAACGCTTATCGACAACAATAATGCGCATCACTATGCCCGCCCATAAGGCTCGTGAGTGGAAGAAAGAACGAAATACTCGCTTCACCGCTCCGACTATTTATGACCCAAACTGCACGGAGAAAATAATTCTACTATAGATACTACTACTAATGTGGTGTCAGTGTGGAGTACATTTTAAATCTCTGATATCTACCAAGATGTTTACTGATTTGCGGTAAAAGGCAGTTTTGACCTACATTAAATGCTCAACGTATTTATTTGGATAAGAAACAATACTGTATTGTTCAAATAGCTTTGTAAATTACCCATTATTTATTGTAATGTGTAAATAGGTAAAAATTGTTAATGTGGGTTATCCTTAGGAGGTCTATCGCGAACTTTTTTCTAGATCTTTTTAAGATATATAATTCCGTAGTACATAACTTTGGTCTATCTCGTACAATAGCCAGGGTTTGCAATGTAAGCGCACAAAAACATGTTTTTTATAAACGTGTTTTTGTGAGCTGTTTTTTTCATATAAACCTTCCTCTTGAATCACTCTCCCTATTGGCGAAAACCGCATTAAAATATGTTGCTTAGTTTAAACGATCTAAGCGTACAGCACAAAAAGCGACTTTATTTCATACTATTTTAAGAAGATAAGTAAGTAACATACCTACTAAATTGATAATAATGTACATGTTGGGGAATTAATGCAATCGGTCGACAAATACCTTGGGATTGATTGCCTTTTCGACTACATGGCGTTAATTCCCAAACGTAAATGTACTAAATTAGTTAGTTACAAAATTATACTAAAAACAAATTTCAAACAATACACGTGAGTATCGATTTCAGTAGTATGTATTTATTTAATTGTCTATGGTATAAAACGTAAATTATTGTACCTATTAGATGTTTATAGTAAAATATATTTTATTTGTGATTAAAATGATTATATTATCACATCAGTTTTACATCTTAGGTACAAAGATGCTTACTTCAGAAGTACGTCAAGGAAACAGTGAAACGTTTACTTGTAGCATAATATGTAAATATACACACTTTATAAGATGCTCATTCCAGAAAGTAAAGTATCAAATAAAGGTAATTTAACTTAGTGATTAAATTGGTTAAAAATTGTCACGTTTTGGCATTCTGTTAAAAGCTCAAGTGGCAATTAATTATCGCCAGAGAATTGACATCTTTATTTTGTTACACAGTATTTCATTCAAAGCCAAAGCCATTTTTATCACAAAGAACGGTTTAAGATCTTCCATGGCATATATAAACTATTTATAGGTCATCTGCAGATTGATATGGCACTGCATTCCATAAATTTTAGTATCAATATTTGCTGAAAACATGTATTTATTATGTATAATCATTTTGACACATGATTATTCATTTTTGATGATGATTATTTTCGAAGCACGCACTCTCCAAACATAAGTACAAAAAATACTGTCAGTTTTATTTTAAATAAGTACTGGAAAAACAACAAAAATTCAAATCACCTACAAACCAAATTCAATGCCAAAATTCGTTTACTTTTTGGAGTTTACTCCTTAAGAATCGGTTTTCATATAAGGCGCCGGGTATAAAAAAAATATGAACAGTAAAATTTAGTGATCGAATGTCCTCGTAACGTTTTTTAGCGGTAAATGTAATTTATAGATGGAGGTTCAACTATTTACTTCGTAGTTGTAATAATATTTTTGTGAGTTTGTTATTTGTTCTATGATTGCAATTTGTTTCAGTTTAATGAGTAGTCCACTACAAAATTAAAATTATTTAAAACGGAATAAACCTCAAAATAAATGGCAATTAATACGTGACTTCTAGTTATTTTAAAAACATTTACATAGATGGCGCTGATCACTAAATTTGTATGCAGCCGACTCACGTACAGTGTATGCGTTTTTAAGGAGTAAACTCCTTTAAAATAAAATTTAATTTAAACAAATAGAAATATTAGTTATAGATGACAATAAATATACAAATATAATCGGTTTTAACAACTCTACGTACATTTTATGATAGGGACATTAGATACATGTGCAACTAAGAGTATTACATTTTATGTTAAATACAGTATTATTTTTTTCTACACAACTATTGATATTTTTACACATTATTTTATGATAAAATTGGCAATATTATGGCAATATATCATAGGTATGTCTTCTATCCCAACAAAATAACAAGATGCATAACAAATAATATAGTATGTCCTGTGTTTTTTTTTAAATATTGTAAATCTTCTATAACACCAAGTCATGTAACATAACGTCAGAAAGCTACCATATTTGAACTTTTTAGGTTTTAAATTATAAAGGACATGACTTGTTACGATCTGGGGTAGCATGTCAATCAAGCAAAGCATAAAAGTATTTTGGCCTGAATAATATATGTTCGTCGTTACCAGAAGTGACAGCGACCATCTGTTTTTTCCTTGAAGGAGACTGTCAAAGCATTGCTACCGCATGAATATGATAGGTATGTTATCATTTTAGTTATAACCTACATACAAGTTTGCTATGCCTTAATTACTTCAAAAAAGTTATTTTTCTCAGACTTACAATCACTCGAACCAACTTTTTTACTCTGACCTCCTCGACAAAAGTTAATTGCTAGCAGTACCTAAGACTGAATTGAAGAGCTTTTATAAGATAAGTCAAAGAAGCAAGATTGCAGCTTTTTGTGCCAGTACTTCTTCCTACTTCTTCCTCTCTAAATGGTAAATAAATAAACATCACCTGTAATTGCAATCAGATCCTATTGTCTCTTAGTATATATTCCTTCTCACTTCAGGTACATCGCCTACTCTTTCTCTCTCTCGTGCCTCATAATTTAAAGGAAAAGTCTGTAACGAAGCAATTCAGTATCGAGATAACCACTTTGTGTGTGCTAATTAATTGAATTCAGAATACCTAGTCCTAACTCGTCATATTTATTTCATGTGACCAATAATAAACTAAACCCACCCATAAATTACAAATATATAGTCTATTAATACTTTCAAAAACTTTTGTTAAGTACATTATACAACCAGGCTTTCATAAATAACTATAATATACAACAAAACTTTACATACATTAAGTACTCGTGTATTTTCGTCCCATTCGCAGTAATAACAGTAATGTTGGTCCCATTCATAAATAATTACCTCTCTAAGTCACAATTGGTTTGATAAAATCACTTCATATAATCAACTGCTTTTCAGTAGGTGTCTAAGTTACTAAATCATCACTCATCGTATCTCCTTTCTCTGAAAAGTCACAAATCTTATCAGTCTTAGATCATAAAGCCCAGTGCCATTTCAATTCCATTAAATTTAAGAAAAAAAAAATCGGGATATTATCACTTTGCGTTATATATTTCAATGATATATATCGCGGATATGACAATGTAGCCTTAGCCATTGACACACTGTCTTGTTTAGCCTTTCTTAAGGAATGGTTCAATTAAAAGGTAGTCCTATAAAAAAACTACAAATGTTTAATCCTATTCAAGTTCCAACAACACACGATTAAAAAATAATTACGAGTATAAGACTTAAATAACACCCTCACAATACAATATATATTTAAGACGTCATCGTCGCCAGCGACTAATATAAAGTCTTTTGACAATTCAAAAATGGTATCTTTCATTTACACATCACTGTGTGACTAGATATATATCTTCGTCACAGATAATAAATATACTATCTAACAGTACTTTTCTTCTCACCTACTAAGCTCACCGTTCATTTCAATCTGAAAGGAAATAAAAAATACAATTATAATTTGTACTTTATTAGCGGACCTAACACACACATCATGGAAAGTAATGTCTAAAATCTGATTACTTTACCACCAAACAGGAAAAATAAAATTCTAAATCAGCGGTCAATATCATCCACAATAAATAAACCAAGGATCCTAGACCCTTTTTACAACTCCACTACACGGGTCTAATAGTGAAACCCCTGTTAGAGACACAAGCAAATCAGTAAACAGAAATATCAAGCTGGGCCTCATTTCACTTCTTTCTTTCTCCGAGCCTTTTCCTAAACTACGTTGAGATCGGCTTTACGTAGTAAGTAAGATCTCTACTATCTAAGTATTAGGTGAAATCGAAGTTCTATAGTAAGACTTTTTTTTATTGGGACTAATCCCACCCACACGCCCACCACTGTAACTCCTGTACATCAGGATCCACAGCAGTGACCCACGAACACACCGAGTTATGACACTCGGGAAGTCCCAGGAAGAAATTAAACTGTCTTGGAACCTGCAACGAAATTAATCAGAAGAAAATTGGAGGAGTTGGAAATACAGTAAATTATAGTAAGACTGTTGGACTTTTTAGGATTCCAAGTACCCGCAACGATTGCTAAAGATCTTCATATGGCCAACGGGACCGACGGCTTAACATGCTTTCCGAGTTTCAGCTCCCCCCGTTTTTTAGGAAAATTAAGATAACGTTATATTTTTTTCTAAATGTTCTTTTTTACACATAAAATGTGAAAATATAATTATGGACAATGGGTGTTTACAAAACAAGTAATTTATTTTTACTAAAGTAGTACTTCAAATTAAATTTATCAGATTCAAATTAAGACATTTGTATTAAAATTACAAATATGCGTAGGAGACTATGAAGAAGTTTCTACTTTTTTTTAAATACGTAAGAATTAAATTGTGGTGTAATATATACCTATAACTGTAATAGAGGTTTTCATTTAAAAACCTACATCGGGCGCCAGTGTCATACTTAGGTGAAATTTAAGAGATAATAATAATAATAATAATATACCTAACACATCTTACACACGGGCGTCTGAGCCCGAACTAGGCAATAATAAAATTACTAATAATATTGTAGTATAATTAAAATAGATTATGTATTATATTTAATTATAAGATACTTACCTATTGTGAAGAGAAAATAAATAAATTTGTTATTATTATTAAAATTTATTATACTATTTTGGTTTTCGGGAATAAAGAAAAGAACAAGAGGATGTATTATTCAAAGAGATATTATTCAAATCAAAACTTTAAACTATCTTCTGGGATCGAGAGATATCGATGAAGCCTTAGATATATTTACTCGAATACCACACGTATTCGGGTAAATACATCTGAGGAATACGACACAAATTAAATCTCTTGAAACGAAAATTTTTTACAACACAACTTTCAAGATGCCTATTTTAATGCCTATTAAATAGTGGCCACTGCCGGTGAGTCGGTCGGAACCGGTCGTTAGCTATTCGAGCTGACCTTATCCACAGTGGAGATAATGAGCGGCGCGGCGATGGGCGCGGCGGCGTGGGCGCGCTGCAGCGCGCGGCGCGTGGAGCCGGCGCCCTCCAGCGCGCGCGCCGGCAGGAAGCGCCACACCAGCGGCGTGAACAGCTCCGCGTCCATCTTGATATCCTCCTGCACGTCGAACAACCACCCCACTACCGCACCCACTATTAGAGTTGCTAATAGGCCGATGGGTGCCACCCAGTGGTACGAGATGCGAAATAGTGGGAATATTGTTTCAGGGTCCTGGAAAGGAAATTTTTAGATGTTAAAGATAAAAGTTGCCGAGGTCATTCTGGTCGGGCAGCAGGGAATCTTCCGGAGATTCTTCGCGCCCTCTGGCCCGCCGGAACCAGAGCCGCCGCCGAGCTCGGAATAGCGGGGCCGCTGGGGACTGAGGGCCGTTCTTTCAGGGGGTGATTCATAGTGATAGAGTCGCCAGAGCCTCGTTCGTCCGTCAGTCAAGATCAAGATGTCAGAGCCCCCTTATACAAAGCAGTGGGTGCAACTGGCTACTTAGATAAATAGAAGATAAAAGTAGTTTTTAACTATATATTAATGTAGTGCAAGCTGTGCAAGGGAACATCTAAAGTTGGTGTTAATTAGAAAATCGATAAAATTGTATGCCATTTTTAAAGACGAATAGTTCTCGACTCTAACAAATGATTAAAAGCAATTTAAGTCTTCTATACTTATTAACGTATTTAATACCATAAAAAATTCCATAAAATTCCTTACAATGTATTATAATTCTTGAAAAGTAGTTATTGAACAGTTTTTAAAAGTAATTGACAACTTAGAGGTGACTGTACTTTTTCAAAAGAGTGTGACAAAGCCAAAATAGTTTTAATGAGTATGATTATTATCAGGAATGTGGATATTAAACATCGTTTACACATTAAACATATATTGTTATCTTTTGCAATCAACAGACATGAATTGCACAGATGTTTTTTTTCAGCCTCTACATAAAGCTTTACTAAAAGTATTTAAATATATTTAATACTTTTTTTATAACTCACAAATAATATATATAGATATAGAATAATATATGCAGATATTTATACACAGAGGTGTCGGTAACGGTAACCGTGTCGCGAGTTCAATGGTTTTTTCCCATATAAATGTTTGTTGTTCAAAATGCCCAAAACGTCCAAAGAAGTATATTACAAAAATGAGATTATAAATTAGAACTCACAAAATCCAAGTCAATATTGGCAACTTCATTGGGGCACTGCATAGTGAAGTTGAGGGGCATAGTTCTCAAGCCACTGGCGGCGGCGGCCTGCGTGCCGAGCGACACGACGCTGGTGACGAGCGCGCCGCCCACGGCGCCCGCCACGGCGCCGCGCGGGCCCACCCACGAGCACGCCATGCCCAGCGTGAAGATCCCGCACGTCGTGCTCGCGGCGATCGCCGACAGAGCTGTTGCTACACCTGGAAATACACACTATCGATGATTAGATACATTTTTGACAGCACGGATGGCGTAGTGGCTTAAGCGGTCACCACACCGCTTCCTACTACGCTGAGTGTTGTTGGTTCGATTCGATCCCCACATGGCGCGAGACTTTGTATGATCCACAAATTGTTGTTCTGAGTCTGGGTGTTTTTTGTATTTGTAAGGTCCCCCGCGCCACAGGATATATTCCTAACGCGGGAGTTGTCTTTATAAAAATCAAAAAAGACAATATTTTTTTTCTGAACTTATAAATTTTGCCGCGTCGGCAGTACGTTTGACTATAACGGCATGGCGCAACCCTTGTTGAATGGTTTGCAATTGGTTCAATATTCGTTCGATTCAATTCTTTGTAAATCTACATATTTGCATTGTTCTAGGTGTTCTCTTTTTATGTATGAGTACGAATTTTTTGTCTTTAATGTCAATATGCTACTACACACAACGTGATAAGATTACGAGATGATTTAATAGCTAGCACTACAATTAACTACTACAAATGTGATATACCTTTGTAATTACTTTTGTAAAGCAAACAATTAACTACTACAAATGTGATATACCTACATTAAATAACAAAAATGAATCTGTCGAAACGTTATAAGGATATGTCCGAAGTGTATCTATTGTACGAAAGATAGAAAAATGTTATATTTTCTGATTCGAAATATTCGAACTTTCAAATTTTCAACGCGATGATTTAGAACTATCAAATTTTCTATTTCGTTGAATAGAAAATTTGTTGTTAAAAAAACACATAAAATCTAAAAACTTTTCATCATTTTATTAACATGAACAAAACGCTAAAATAATTTGAAGAAAATATAGGAAGAAAAATACATATTTACAAAGAGATAAGTGGTTCTTTCAAACTCCTTGTTCATTTCACTTTTGCCTCCAATTTACTGTAAAACATACTCTCAAATAAGTACGTTGTCTGCAGAAATATGTAATATTGGACATGTTTTTTTAGTTAAAATGGACTTACCGAGAACTCCACCTAGTTTTTGGATAACAACCAGCATGATTACTGATAAGACAGCCAACACTGCAGTAGCACCTCGTGCAATTAATCCCTCATTGAATGGTTTATATCGTTTTTGCAGCCAGCCGTGTAATAAGTCTTCAATTATTACCAATGCACAAGCGTTTAATACTGCAGATAGCGAGCTAAGGGGAAAAAATAATGAAAATGATAATTTCAACTCGATAGAAATTAGCTTTAGTGATGATTAGAATTGATTATTACTCATTCAATCAGGAGAACCGGAATATGAATCCACAAGCAATTTAATAAAATAAAAACAAGACAAAAAGTTTCGACTTTTAAGCAAATGTACAGTTGCAAATAACATTTAGGAGTTTTATGCTGAGATAACGTATATGGTGGGGTTAAGTTAGAAACTGGAATGCTTAGTGAATAGTGTAGCTAATGCGACTTATAGTAGTGTCGAATTCTGCGATTACCTATACTCAGTTTCACAAGCGTTAAATATTGGTCTATTAGAAAGTTTATGTAAGATTTTAAATGTAATGTCGAAAAGCATTCTTTTTATAGCATTTTATATATAAATTATAATATTAAATATCAATGTTACAACTACACAAGACGACTTATTGTTAGGTGTAGTGCGCTTGGTAAGTAGTATAAAATAATTAATAATCTCTCAATGTTACAAACATTAATAACACAAGCATGCATTTACAATTATAAAAGGTCTACTGGGTAGGCAAACAGCGTCACATTGCCTTTTGCATGTAAAAAATGTTGTATAATTACCTAAGTCCAGCACCAAAGACTCCTGCCAGAAAAACACCAGACAGCCCTGGTAAGTTTTGTGTGTCTGCAATGTAGGTAACAAAAGATGGCAACATTCTGTCATCCACCAAAGGCGTGGCACCGGGAGCGCAACCGCTGGTCACCCACGCAACATAGGCCGTGATTCCACACCACGCGCAGAGGGTGATCGCCAGCACTGCACCCATGGCGAATATACCTATTGCGCTGAAAAATATCATTTTTAGATTATTGAAAAAGTGCTGATAACTAAAGTCATAACTACTTTTTATTACGGACTTCTTCCCTTAAAGGGGGAGTAACTATATTCGACTGTATGTTTTTTTTTTTTTGTTTGCAGCGATATTTCCGTCATTTATGAGCCGTTTTTAAATTAATTGGGTATTGTAATTGTTTAAAACATATCCAACAACCACGTCATTTTCAACAAATAGGATACCTAATACTATGAGTACAATATCAGTTCGACTGTTTTATCCCGTTTGTCACGCAATTTACATGAAATACAAAGATTCTATAAACAGGAAAAAAATAATAGTATAAATAATAATAAGTGAACGTAATATACGGATGATACTGCCCCAGACTAGAAATGGTTTTTGGGCAGCATCATCTGTATATTGCGTTCACTTATTATTATTTATACTATTATTTTTTTCCTGTTTATGGAACCTTTTTAAAAAGAAAAAAAAAGAAAAACTGTTTTTAAGGCATAGGTATCGTGCAAATAACCGTGTCAGCATGAAAAAACTTATTATTTTGATATTACAAACAGACTTCAATTTTATCTATTTGTATAGATCAACTCAAATAATTAAAAAAAAAAGTATTGCTGTAAGTGACTGGAATGTTACAATCAAAATCATTTCAGTCAGCTGGACATAGGCCCCGTCTGTCAATTTCACCGTTTGGAATTGGGCTAGGTCTACTGACGAATATAATGTGTGTAAACAACAATTAAACATTTAATTTTATTAATCCGTCATATGTCATGACGTATTACATACCGTATAATTTTTATGTAAATAAATGTATCAGTATAACAATAACGCTTAAGTGTAGACATGGCTGTAGAATACGTGCAGGTGTATTGTTTATATACGTTTAATTATATTATACAGTGTAGGCAATAAAGCTTAAATAAAATAAATGTTATTACACACTTCTTATCATGTAATTAAATACACAAACTAGTGAAAGTCAATTGAGTTTATATTATATTTATGGATCTTTGCATTATATTATCTGGATAGTGACTAATAATAACTTAAAAAAATAGGGCTCTCCTTAGAAAGAAGGTTTTGGTCTACTATACCACGCTGGTCAGACGGGTTGGTAGAGGGTATCTTTCAAGTTTTCCTGCTCTTTTCAGTCTTTTGTCCTGCGTAATTTGCTCCCTTAAGGCTCTTACGACACCCAGGGAATAAATTGGGGGGATGACACTCTATATTCTAAATCCGTCATCACACGGATAATAAAAAACGTTTTCAAAAAATAATTAAAATAAAAGCGTTACTGAAAAATAATTATAATAAAATGTTACCAAAAAGAAAATCTGCTAATATTCTGTTCTAAATCAACATTCTTGACAACTACATTACACCGATAGCTAATTCTGTTCATTACCCAAGGTTGACATTCAATATTTGTGCATATAGATAATGTTGTGAAATACTAAAAAATATATTTGTATAAAACAGTACACTAACACTACTCAAAACCTGCCTCTAGTACCTCTAGCGTAGAGCAAATCTATTGCGGATATCAAAAGATAAATGATTAAGTACTATGAACACTCTGGAACATGTAATATTACACTTTCTAGATCCAAAATTAATATACCATTATTAATCTAGCTAACCCGTACTAAAACTTCGTCTGAGTACATTTTTCATTGATTCACTCGACTTACATTGGTCGTAGGGTGATGTTAAATAGCCTTCCTCGATAAACTAGCTAGCCAACGCTAAAATATATTTTTTCAATTCAAACCAGTAGTAGTAAACACAGACCAACTCAAATAGACATATGCATGCTTACAAATATTTGCACGAAGTGGGAATTGTCTACCAGCACGTCACAGAGGTCGTCAAATATAGGAAGCTCTAAAGCATATAGTGTTACATACGTAACTGCCTTCTTCTTGCTATCCAGTGAAATGTATCGCTGCACCATGGTCTGGTTGACGGAGTTAAAACACGTCCAGTATATACATCCACCGATCACCGCGCCCCATCCCGTTTGGCGCTCGAGCGGTGAGAAGCTCCAACTGATAAAAAAAAATAATACAATTTCATTCGCACAGTACAGTATTATTTTGATCAAATTTCGACGTCTACAAAAAATAGGTAATAAATAGTATTAACTTGTACCTTATTTGCACGCGGGAGTGGGAACATGAAATTTATCTTGTATCGCAAATGATGTTCATTTATTTTGTCAAATTAATGAAAAAAACAATTTGAAAAGACTTGTGTCAGAGTCAGTGATGGAAAACTACGCTTAAAACGTTGTGATTGTAAAATATTTAAATTACCTTTTTCGTGAGTCGTGATTGGATTCCTTTATCATACCAATAATTACAATCAATTATTATGTATAATTTATTGAAAATGGGCCTCAATTTTCAGTCTAATATTTTTAGCTAAATTTAATTTTTCTTTTTTTGAAATCGATTAAAACTTCCTTTTTCATCATATATCATTTTTTTTTACTAACATGATTGCTGATTTTTGGTTATCACTAATAAATTAATATTCCAAACTACTCCAACTATCACAGTTACTGAGTTCATAAGTCTTACTTGGTCAGTTCTATTCTGCCAGAGACACTGGCTATCTCAAACGCTGACGCAAATCCCCCGACAGCGATTGTTCCGGCGACCGCAACGAGAACCACGCCCAGAAACATTAGGCCAGTCTGCACTGAGTCTGTCCATACCACTGCTCGAAGACCACCCTGTGTTTAAAGAAAGTAGAGATTAGTTAAAATCTAAAAGTAGTATTTACTTAAAACATTGTGCACCTACTCTACGCATGCCTTAAATATATTTAAAAAAAATCTCCTAATTTCAAGCAATGACTTGTGCAGATATAAAGTAAAGAGTAATGAGGCAGTTTAACATATTAAAAACAAAGTATAATAACTAAAATAGACTAATAAATAAAAAAGTAAATAATTAAATATCAAATAAAATTGAAATAAACGGCATGATATACTTATAATTATATGCTGTTTATTTTTCTCCGCACTACTTTAAAAAAATGAATTCAACTTATATAAAAAAAAAACGTTTTTTTTTATTATCCGATGTGTTAAAAAGTTAGTTGGACATAAACATTTCGTTTAAAATATGTTTTGCATTTGTGTTGATATCAATAAATACGTAATTGTCCTGTTGTCTATTGCCCCTAATCTCCGAACAATGAAAATAGAAATATATAGTACTGACATATTGTTCAGAAATGTATGTAACTCAAACTTTAATCGGGCGAAACTACGACTCTCAACTATAAAAATCCTGACTTCGTTTAATCAGATAGCATTAGGTATATACGATATTCTAAGACACAAATATTCTAAAAATCTATACTCTCGTCGACAAAATCACAAAATGTATTGAGAAGTGTTGTGACAGGCTAGATTTATTTCTAGACTCATAAGATTGAGATGGAATATTAACGAACTTAACTCGAATAGGAGTGCATACCTACTGACAACCAACAATACGAAAGATATTCTTTGTAACTGCTCTGTAGAAAATTGACAATAAAATAAAAACAATAAAAACTCACTAAAACTGTATAGACGCCACAAATAAGGACCATTATGCCACCGACGGCAAAAACATTGGCTCCGGTTACTGAAAATTATAATAACAAAGCACCAAATTAAACATGCATTTTTTAAGAAAAAATAGCCGGTGTCGTAACTTAATTCATTTAAAACCATAAAAAAGGTGCATTAAGACATTTACTAACAAATTAATTTCAAACAACAATGCAATAAATTATACTCACATTGGTTAAAAGCTAATGCAGGTACGAATACCACCATAGGCAGAAACAGCACCTAGAATAAAACCGTAATATAAAAATTAGAAATCAATAAATTTTAATAAGTGCGCTGTGGATTTACATGCTTATACATATGTTATGCAATGCTAATTCCATTTTAAAATTAAAATAAGTAGCTTAATAAGTCACTTCTTCTAACATCAGCAATCTGCCAGTGAAATTCCTACGGAAATCGGTCTTTTGGAGACCAGCCGGCTAACGACTAACAGACTAAAATAAAGAAACAGTAGTTATAAGTAAGGTTAAGGTAAGGTATAAGTACCAAGAGCACATTCAAATATGTTTAGTAAAAATCTGTTATTTAACTTTAATTTAATTTATTTATGTAGAAACAAGATTGATTTTTAATTGAGTGAATTAAACACACATTTAAGTTGCCGGAAATCTTCAGAAATCTTGAAATTTAAAATACCAGAGCATTCCACTAATTTTTATACTTAATCATATTAAGTAAAATCCGTACGTTTTTGGAGAGCGGACGAGCTCAATCCATAACCATCTTCAAAACTATGTTGCTTGAGCATTATTGAAGTGTAGTCTTACTCATAGATGTGCAATTACCAGTGGCCATTAAGGAAGTGGCTACACTATCAACCAAGCTCCATATTCAGCTCCAAGATGGGAAATTGTAGTATAGCCATCCCAGCATACATACGAGGGGTGATCAATAAGTAATGATAATCGAGTATTTCTAGAACGCACAAAAACCCAATTTTTTTTTTTCTGCTTGCTTATATATCCACTACTTCAGCTTCAAAAAAATGTATAAATAGGACACCATTACCGGGAGATACATTCATTTGAATACGAACTGTCGAAGAGAAAACATCAAAAAGGAGAAAAATGAAATAAGAGCTGTCATCAAGTACCTCTGCCTGAAAAAAATGTCTACCAAAGACATACACAGCGACTTAGAGGAAACATTGGGGGAGTCTGCTCCTCCATATTCCACAGTCGCACGCTGGGCAAAGGAATTTTAGCTGGGCAGAACCTCCACTGAAGATGAACATCGCGAGGGACGCCCTTCCACGTCCCTTACTGGAGAAAACGTCAAAAAAGTGGAAGATATCGTGTTGGCCGATCGAAGGGTGACCGTAAGGCATGTAGCTGAGGTCACAGGGATCTCCTATGGCAGCGTTCAAAAAATCATTGTCAACAAAATGCATATGAAAAAGGTCTCTGCGCGTTGGGTACCGAGAATGTTAACCAACGAGCAAAAAAAGGAACGAGTCGACATTTCGAGGGTGAATCTTCAAAAGTTCCAGGCCGATAAAGAATTTTTTTTGTCGCGTTTTGTGACCATGGACGAGACCTGGATCCACCACTTTGATCCCGAAACCAAACAACAATCAATGACTTGGAAACGAGCTTCCTCACCAACGCCGAAGAAGTGTCAAGTTCAGCGGGAAAGGTTATGGCGTCTGTTTTCTGGGATGCAGAAGGAATTATTATGGTGGAATATTTGGAAAAGGGGGCCACTATAACAGGCTCTTACTACGCAGGCCAAATAAGAAGATTGCGAGAAGCTATTAAGTCAAAAAGACGCGGTAAACTGCGCGCTGGAGTGCTGTTTCACCAAGACAACGCCCCGGCTCACAAAGCCGCAGTTGCGATGGCTGCCATTGAAGAAACGGGGTTCGAACTGCTCGAACACCCTCCCTATTCGCCAGATCTAGCTCGCAGTGACTTCTACCTCTTTCCTCGGCTCAAAGAACACCTCCGGGGCAACAAATTTGAGGACAATAGTGAAGTGATGGCCGCAGTAGAGGCATTTTGGGAGGGTCAAGACAAAGAATTTTTTTCTAAGGGAATCATGGGCTTAGAAAAAAGATACACTAAATGTATTAACTTGCAAGGAGACTATGTTGTAAAATAAAATACTTTTTTTAATCTAATAGTTCTGTTTCATATTGATTATCATTACTTATTGATCACCCCTCGTATATAATATCAATGTGTAATACATAAAAACTTTCATTGCGATACGATGATTTAACATAGTTACGACGGATGATAAAAAGGTAGTGGTAATGAACATGTAAAACCACATCCAGGACTCGAAATTATTTTTTTTTGCACTTTTTCAAGCATATTTGCTTCTTGACAGCTATAATTTCAGTTTACTAGAATTATCATGTCATCTCTGTGCTAAAATTCAATAGATCGTTCTGCTAAGTTGGCTAAGTAGTATCCTTTGTGGAACTAATAGCAGAAAACATTGCTTGACAGGTAATTGTTTTTCGAACAAGTGTGCGAGGACAATGACCTTTTAAACACCGCACACTATTATTGATTCTTTTGTAGCTCTCCGATTGGTACTAGTACGAGAAATGTTTAAATCTAAATAATTATCCAAATCTATTGTTTCAGTTTTCGGTACGCCATTCCTTACGTTGTATAAAATGTTACATGTGACATGCCAAACACATGATGAAAAAATTGCTGGCATTTCAAACTATCTACACACTTGCGTGTTATTCTATGTTATTAAACATTAGCAGGAACGTGGTTGTTACGTCAGTATTCTCACAAGTGATCATTTGACCATTGTGTACTTTACAATATACAGGTGATCATTAAGTTGAGGAATTCCTTGTTGTATTTAGAAAACTATAAATGATTGTATCATCAATTTATTATTGATTAAGAGTCGTGACTTGTATTAAAAATAATTCAATTTACGAGCGATACACTTTTTAATTACTGAAAATGGACACGCTATAGCATAAATTCCATACATTACTTTTAACAGTAACCGTTAAATCTTATTTTCCATGTATTATATAGAATCGTAAACATCTAAACACTTAAAATCAATATGAATTAGCAATAGCTGTATTTGAGAAAACCGTAAGACTTTAAAACTACATAAACGTCTCAATCTTGTCCGGGGTTGGCAGAGATGATGATGAACTCCATTAGAACCAATCCTGACATACAACACGCGCCTCTTAGATATTCACCAGGTCTTTCAAATATGCTCGCTTAGATACTTTTAACCCTGAGTATACTACCGACCTGGTTCGTATGTCTTTCTGGGCCTGTCCGCATGGGTTCACCTACTCAGAGGAGCCCCTTATAAACTCGTTTAGTCATTCGCTCTTCACTCTACCCAAACATCCTTCATGACAGCATCCCTTTTTCAATTCTTATTACTACATATTCTTTCAGTTTACACCGTTTTCTTACTTTACATTATTTCTCACTCTATCAGATCAATTTTACATTAAAGATCTTATATCTTACTTTAAACCTCAACCTATAACATTTACCGTCAAGTCGCAAATTAGTACGACCGAAGTCCGTGTAGCAAATGACCTTGTTTGGTACAAAAATAGATGTAAAAACATCTAGTCATCGATGCTAGATTCTGTAGATGAATAAAAATTTACTTCGCTTCAGCACTGCAGTGACCTACATTGTATGCATGTCATTATGTTATTGTTATGTGTATTGATGTTATTATATTTGTGAATGCACACGTACTAATAATTTATGCATCTTTAAATAACTTATGTTGTTATCTTTTCACAAAAATGTTTAGGAACCAACGCCTACTTACGACGCGCATTTGTGCACTGACTTGTTTAAATATTGAATTAGATTATAAGTTTATTATGCGCAATGGCTGTAGATCCCCCAGCACTGCACCAAAGACTAAGCGTAAAAAGTATACTGTAGAAATAGACAATACTACCTCTGTGATCTTGGTTTTGCACGAATTATACTTCAAAAACAATCACAATGATATATTCCCCATCATGATTATACTATATTATACTTTATAATTGTGTTGTGTTTTTATATACTTCATTATCTTCTTCATATCACCACGGAAACGTTATGTAAAGGACTCATTGGTATTCTAGTATTATGTAAGTTTTTTTTGTATGATAGAAGGGGCAGACAGCTAAGTGACAATCACCACCCATGAACGGTAAAATTAAATTAAAATTTTGGTTTGATTATGATATTATGCATAAAAGTATCTTAAATCAGGTGAGTGTCTTAAATTAGATTCGTTCCGTCAAAGAATTTTTGTTATATCTTTACTCAAATAACTAATGCGAAAGTGTCGGCTAGCAGCAAAAAAACGACCCGCTTTTTGCATATTTCTGATAAAAAGTTTATGGGCATTGCATTGATATATATCAACACTACTCATAACAAAATGTAATAATACTGAAAATTGCCCTTTCATTTCTTATATACTTAGTTTATGTATTCGCTGTAAAAATTCGAAAAAAAAATAGGCGCACAATATTTTTGAATTCTAATTAGCTACACACAAAAATCATACATATTCACGGAATAAAGTGTAGACGTTTATAGTCTTTTAACATAAAAATAATGTGATGTAAATGAGTATCAGTAGAAAGAAGCAATAATATTTATCTAACCAGGAGGCTAAAAATTCCTATAACCGCTACATGGCATGCCAGCTGCGTATTATTATGGCCACATAACGGACAATTGATGTTGATGTTCTTTATAGTAAACGACACCGATCAAAGTCCAGCTTGGAAGCAAGTGGATGACCTATCACCTAATAAGAATTGCTGATGACAAGAATACTACAAAATCATTAAGGAAACATTTTGTGTACTGTTAAATTGAACTACTACACAATGTCATGTAACTAAATTTTAACGAGGAATAAAAAATCATTTTTTGGTATTTTACACGTATACAGTAGACGCATATAATAAAACCTGTATCCCTCAAGAGATAGGCCCTTATGTAGAAGCCTTATCAATAACTAGTTGTGACCCGCGGTGTTACCAGCAGTTTATAAAATAAATTTCAATTCCTTGCTTATCCCACGAGAACACTATATTTATTCGGGATAAAAAAAAGTAGCCTATCTGTTAGGCCAAGATGTCAGCTACCTCCATACCAAATCTTTTCTTTTTCTTTCTAGTCCATGAAGTAAGAAACATACACTCACAAACTTTCGCCTTTGTAATAAGATAACCAACATTCTGCTAACCATAATTTAGACAGTCGCAACAGAGGGCAAGGCTATTGCTTATAACATGGCACTTTGGTAAGTAACGAAGGAAAGTAAGACAAGGTGGGAAGGTAAGAGAAGAAACATTATAAAGCTTACACGGATTTGGGAGTGTAAGTCAGGGCACAACAAATCAGACTCACACACTTGCAACTCCAACTATTGCCAAGAAGTTTGCATCGTCTAACTATAACTAACTATCACATCACATCACATCAACAGCCTTCAATAGTCCACTGCTGAACATAGGTCTCTACTTAGAAAGGAGAACGAAAACTTGACACAAACCGTATAAAGACCCGTCTGGCCAGCGTTATTTAGTAGTGCCATAACCTCCTTTCTAAGGAGAGGAATAATTAACTATGTTACATTTTAATTAAGAGATATCAAAAATTAGACTCGAGGGAAACATTAAACCAGTTAATTAACCAGGTAAACTTTCTTAGGGCGACCTAGCGCACGATGGTGTGTGAAAGTAGCTGGCAGCGGGTGGGTGCGATCCTTGGGGGAAGCCTTCGTTTAACAGTGGACTGCGATAGGCTGATGATAATGATAATACGATACACGGCCACGACACCACCGCCAGTTGCTCCATGCGGAACTTCCGACGGCAATCCCGTCGCCCCCATGAGACGTCGTCCTCCGACGTAGCCCTCGCACGTGCCCTCTGCGTAACAGAAGGACGCGTGGAGATTGGACCTTGGCAATTAGGCCTAGGCCACCCTGCCCTTGAGGTTTTTTATAGAGGTTTTCTCCTCTTGGCCAGTCTCCTATCTAGCAAAAGGCCCCCGCTCCCGACAAGTCGGCGTCTGCGGGTCGGGCTGTCCGGTTGCCGGTGTTCAGCATTGACCGCCGCCAGTTGCTCTGCTTAATGCAAAACTTCTGACGTCTCCCGTCGACCCTTTCGTAGCCGTTAGGCCACACTCTCCGTGCCAGGGACCGCATTGGCCACTAATATATAATCGCGTGTACAGCCTTCCGTTGCGTTGCAAAGCGTTGCAATTGTTGGTCGTCGCATTGGATGGTTAGGTCTTTGGAACCCTCGCTGCTACGCTTAGGATTGACTGCAGACGAGGGAAGTTCTTAAGAGTCAAAAGTACAGGCAGTAGACTTTATGTAGATATACGGATTGAATGATGTTAACACTTCATTATTCTAAACTTCAAAGAAACTAGATTAGGAAAATTAATTCTAGGTGATAAACCTCAAAGATGTATGCACGAAATATTTTATAATTAATCATGATAAATCCACTGTTGGTTATAATTGTTAAATGATTTTAACCTTGCTGGTACGCTTAAAGTATTTATAGATAAGTATAATTAGAAATCAAGATAGTTAAAAAACAATAAACCAGCCAAGTTCACAATAAATCATTTAGCAGTTTTCCATCTTAGCATAGTTGAAATTGAAACTAAATTCTTGTTTGTTTTGTGACGAAAATTTTGGCCAGACTTTCGTGTTTATGTTTCTGATTTGACTATCTTATCAAAATAGCAAACTGACAACGGGTGAACGTCAGCATTACATCATAAAGTGAGATTTCAAGTTGCCAAAATAATCTACCGGCTTAATGTGTATCATTACATTGTACCCCTCGTATCATTGTCATCGGCATTACTCCAAATACTATTCCCTATCTTATCCTGACGACGCACGACGTGCATCCGCATACGAAACTTTTCTTTTAATATGGTAAAGATACGGGTATGTACGGGTATGTTTCATTTCTCTTTTTTTTCTTATCTATGGCAGCTAAATACATTACAATTTTTTTTACAAAGAAGTACAAATTTGAACTTAATAACTAAGGCATTTTCTGATTGTCAAATTTAGGGGACTGCCGTACCTCTTTGAAGTTGCCATGGTAAATTTGGCAGACAAACAAATAAACTATTGGATTAGATAAAAAAAATTAGCCGTAAATTATCCGCAAACTATCAGTGAAAATGAAAAATTAACCACAAGCCAAGAAACTCGAAAATCAATTTGCATACTAGCTTCAGGTGAAGTTGGCATGCAAAAAACCTTAAAATCGGTTAGGATCGTTGTAGACAATTATATGTGGGCTCATAATTTTCCGCTAATTAACCGCTGACGATACAGATCCATATTTAGGGCGAATAAATCTTTTTTTTATCCGTGCAAGTGAAGTTGGCATGCAAAAACCGTAAAACCGGTTAGGATAACTAAAACTTTTTCATCTGTGCATGACATCTAACATGCAAATCGACATTTGGATTTCTTGGCTTGCGGTAAATTTTTCGTTTTCACGGTTAATTTGCGACTAATTTTATTTGTTTGTCTGCTAAATTCGCCATGCCAACTTCAAAGAGATCAATGCAGTAGCACATAAGTTAGTGTTTATATGATAATTTTTGTTTTGAAAAAAAAACAACTCACTTTAACAAACCTATTCAATGGAGATATTAGGCAAACAAACGACTCTATGCTGTCGTTTTAACTCTCAGGGTCTCAATTGTGTCACCTACAATCGCAGTCATTAACCAAGTGCTATATAATTTAAGAGATTTGAATTTGTTAATGTACACAACGATAGTAGTAGATAAGAATGAAATAACAGTAGTAGTATTTACATATAATTACAAGTCGAAATTAAAATTTAAAAAAACCGTCGTCTCCTAAATGTTTCTTATTAGAAAATATCTAATGGTCCTGATGAGTCCTATTTACGAAATAGGAGGGAAGTAAATTGCATTTATAATAATAATATTAATAATATTGTACCACATTCACACAACGCCATCTAGTCCCAAACTAAGCAGAGCTTGTACTATGGATACTAGACAACTGATATAAATACATATATACTTTTTTTTCTAAATACATACATATTATACATAGAAACACCCAGACCAAATCAAACATTAAATGTTCATACACACAAATGTTTGACCTGAGCGGAAAGCGAACCCGCGACCTTTGGAATAGCAGTCCGTTACATAAACCACTACGCCATCCTGTCGTCATTTAACCTAGCACTTTATGAATTCGATGCAAAAGCTGATGTGTAGTAAAAAGGAACGTAGTTTTGAAGGACGGTAGCGGATATTGCTTACACGGATCTATTTGGGGTTTAAAGCAATAGCTTAATTAATCAATAGTGACCAGAACACTGCCGACAAAATCACCTTTCAGCCTTTCATTCAAAATCAACGAAATTAAAATTGGTCAATTCGTTTAGACCACAGACTGATAAACAGATACACAGACTCAGGTACACTCGTTTAAATTAATACACGCCTCTAACTTGCTTCCTGTCTTAAAATATGTAAGATTATCCTAATCGCTAGTCTAAATAATTAATTATTTGGAACACTGTTTTTTTTTTATTCATATTTCAAACAACACTTCTGGTTATTGTCAGGTATGGAGTGGAATGCGATACATTCTGTATTATTCTATATTGTGTATACTTAAACACACAGGTGTGTTTCTTTAAGTTTTTCTAATTTATTGTTATCTTTTGTTCTATTTTTTTTTATTACTTTTTTATTTTTTGCACAGTTTTTTCCCTGTTAAAATCGTACCGTTCCCGTCAAATGGTATGTAGGCTTTATCAACACTAAGCTATGGTTATTTACTTTAACAAAGGAATTAACTTACCTCATCAAACAAAAACAGGAGCGAGGCGACAGCGCGCACATGTCTGTTGAACCTTAGCTCTAAATACTGAAACAAATGTTTAATATATTAATATACTTATATATAATATAGTTAATGTCAGTCATTATTACTTTAATATGGTATTACTATTTTTACTTTTTTAATTAAAAATTGAATATCTAAGTATGGAAAAGCAATGTATATCCTATGTTTGTAGTGTGCAGAATAAAAAAATTGTAGAGATAAACATCGTCAAACAAGTTAAGGTGTTTATTTATAGAGTATAGCTAATTACTGGTTAAAATAGCTCTGCGCATATACCAGCATCTTAAATAAACTATTTTTTATGATTAAGATTAGAAATAAAACTAAACTAACTAACTAACTAGAAGAATAAAAATGGGTCGTTAACAGTTTTTTACCAATTCCTTACACAATCAAATACCTGAAAAACCTTTTAGTATAGTTTCGATAAGCTCTTAATCACCTACGTCATTGATGACATAAGTCTTTCGTTATTAAACTTGAATATACTCGTACATATATAGTTGAGTTATACACACATATATATATATTTATGTTTATATCCTGTCTGTTTACACGTTTGTTATCAACATAAAGCAGTTATGAGACTCTAAAGCATTGTTGTGAATATTTTTATATACAGTTCACATAAAACTGTATTCACAGAAAGAAATGAAGAACACTGCTAAGACAATTCGTAGACAAGATCGTAACGATATACTCTCGAACTATTAAGCAGCCTATAGAGTTAAAAAGAGAAAACCAAATCCAATAATTCACTTACAGGATTATTTAGTCCTTAATTTGTCTTTTAAGACGGTTTTGTTTGCAGAATAGAATACCGAATACCTATTTTAATGGTCCCATAAAAAATACATAACAGTTTTAACACGACTATTTATAATAAATAAATAAATGACAACTATGCAAAATAAATATTAGTACATCTTGTCTCAATTGTCACAAAAGCAAAAAATCTAACCTCTTATATTCTATTTGGCTTTGTATGAACTCATCTTTAGAAGATATTTTTTGCAAGCAAATCGGCTGAGTAAAGTCCACTACAAAACGGTTGTCACATCATGTCAGATTACATACGATTATGATAACATGTACCTATACACATATTTAAGATAAATAACCCACTACAACGACGTAACTGTTAAGGGAATCTTGATAGTTTATTGCTTGACGACATCGACTTTGAAATCATTTAATACTTTATGATTGTAGATTATATTATCATTTGAACGATTGAGTCAACGATTCATGAAATAAACATAATATACATAGATATACATACATATAATGCAATGCCGTTTGACTATTATTGGCCTTAATTAAGTTCATCTAAACATTGTTTGAGAATGTTGCTATTGACGAGAGCACAAGACATATTGCTATCTTCTACTTAAATAGCTTGACAATAAATAGTGCTTTGAAGGATTAGTCGTTCAAATAATTATTATATATCCCAATGAGACCATCATTACGATTATGATCTATTGTTTCATATTTTATAGACCATCGGTGATGAAACGTAATCGTTGAAACGACATTACTTGTGGAGGATAAAACTGAGTAACCTAAAAACTTGCGAGTTATTACACACGATAGACAAACATTCTCTCGGAGTACAAGGCCGTCCTCATAATTCAGTCGAGTTCGTAGGCCAATGGCCAACAGTTACATAAATGTCGAAACAAACTTGTGACTCTTTTAACATATAACTATGGAAATATTTTATATAGACACCTTAATTAAAAAAGATAGATATTTGCATTCTACAGATGTATGTAGTATGAAAACAAATCGATATGGTTCGAGTAGGACTAGTGTTCTGATGATGAATTACAAATTCAATCATAATATCTTAAGACTCGGGAGAGACTAATCATCTTATCGAAATTTATATATACACGAAATTATGCACTAGAAAAAATACTCTAAATATAGATATGTAGCGTCGCGTCGCCACCTTGGTTCTTGCTTTTTACATGTTTTGGTCGAATAACTTTTGATTTACGTGAAAGTGTAAAAATATAATCATGGCATAAATAACTTCGACTGACGTGTGATTGGCACGAACACTTTCTATTATGATTTTTTTATTTTTCTTTACGGAAACCTAAATTGCAGGTTATTGTGTAAATATGTATAGTGCTTACCTCATAAGAAGACGAAAGCCTTAGAGTGCAGAAGACCGGCAAATATACGATGCAGACTATAATACAGCTTAGCGCTACTCCCACGACCACTAGCCAATACTGCGCACCATAGTTATATATTTCAGCTGGTGTTCCCATTATCGTGACTCCAGAAACATAACTAAAACAAAAATATTAATTAGACTTGGGGCTTAGTTCCCAGGCACAACAATGCAAACGGAGATGGTTTTCTCTCGTCAAAACTTCCACAATCAATATTTATGGCACGTCGCATTTGACTACAAATTTTTGTATGCCATTTATCTACGTAATATGTATTTATTTACAAAAATAAATCTAATATAAAATCGGATTAACTTTCATTCATACTAGTAAAGAGATCAACAGAAATGTTTCTCAAAAATTGTCGCCTGTATGACTGATTTGGTCCATCTATATGTATATCTAGGTGTCCCAAAAAATGAATAATAATGAAGTGAAATACGTGCATGATGTATAAATAAATAATAAATACTAATCAATCAAGAATACCGAAATGCATGAATAGAAATTGACCTGGCAATGTGCGTGACGAAATATTAACTTATCCGTAGTCGCCTAATCCATTGCGTAATTTGTTAGCTACATATTTATATGAGGATATTACAAAGCACATTTACGTCACACTCTGCTAATTATTTATAGGATATCCATTTTTAGTAACAAGTTTATAAATTATCAGTTCGCTTTTCAATTTTAGGATATTTTAACATGTAACTAAGTCAATCCAGATTTTGACATCTAATGCGCTTACCAACAAACTTAATACACTGAATAATGCGATTTAACTAGTGTTTAGCGATGATAGCTTTATCCTAATAACATTACATCTGTGAACCTCCTCGACTTAATAAATATGCGATTAAGATGATCTATCCTAAATAAAGTTTTTTTTTGTGAATAATGAAATAATTCGGTTCTGATCTGCAAATCTGATTAACAGCTTCTTATAATCATTTAATTTCTAACTAATCCACAGATTCTTGATTTCTTGGGATTCAGAACGGATCCACATAATATTCTTTTTAACATAAGCACAGCCAGTAAAGAGTTTTTAAACTAAAAAATTACGATTGTGAAAGTTATATAATACAAACATAGTTATTGTCAAAATTTAATGTACTAAGACGTGATAAGACTTCCTTCTTCTTACGAAAACAAGTCTAAATCTATTCATCATATAAGTCTATACACTGATATTTAAAATCATAAAGACATATATAACCAAGACCAGATAAAAATACAGACCTTCCATCATTAACCTTGGTAAAGAAAAATACTAGAGAACTATTAGCTACAGTGAATTTGAAGTTGAATTTAAATTTAAGGTTTCTTTAGTATACTAAAATATCACATTATTTGAAGAATTTGTTAGCGATTGTAATTACAATCCTAAATGAAAAATAACACCACAACTTTCTGTCACAAAAATAAATATTTTCTAAAACAATGAATAGTAAAGGATCAGTCTATATTATTGAAGCGATTTAGTACTTTTTGATATTACCTCTAAACACATACAAATTTTACTTTTTAATTAAATTTGTGTCTATACCTTACCATAAATTAGTAAAACAGTACATTCATATACTTAATAAAATCTTTCTAAAATCAGAAAAGCATTCTGTGGTTGATTGTACTTAAAATAACTGAATTTCTTTCTGACATCTTTCACGGTAAGAAAAGAATACGTAATAAAACTGATCCAATAGTGGGCAACTATAACTAACATAGAGCTATTTTCACATTTATAATATAAATATTGTAAATGAAAAAAATCAGCCTAGCATTGTTAAGTTTTCTAAAGAAAAATTTCTTTTCCGTGTGTTATAATATTATGATAATGAGGCTTCTAATCTTATGAATCATATTGTCAATAATATTCCTACGTCCCTCCATACTACACTGTTTAGGGATACGCACTCTTGTACCCTTAGGTACTTACTATTAACGCCATAACTCTTTATACATAAACTAACTGTTGACCGCATCTTTATTTGTGGTTTTACTTTACAGATATTGTCAAACAATATATTCCTACTAAACAGTATTTTATGTAGATAAAAGGGCCCCCTTTTCTGCCCCCCCCCCCCCCCCTCCAACAAGTTATTTGAAAAACTTGAATTGAATAGTTAGACCTTGAAACCGTAAAAACAAATCAGCTCAGTTTTTTTTATTTATAATATTAATTAGTATCAGGAAGTTCAAGTCGGCAGATAATTACCCGGTAATACACGTGCGCGTCAGCAATACCGCAGATAAGATAGCAATTACTTCGTAACAGATAAACCAATGTCTATACCAAAGCAAAAATACCTACGCCGTAAGAGCCTAAAAAAACAACAATACCTAGCATTAGCTGCAATCAGAATTCTATCTTGCGTGTATTGATTTAATGTTGAGAACGCTTTAACCACCGTGCGATAATTGCAATAGCAGACGCTCAAGGAGTATAACAAACATGATTAAGGCGAGGTTGCAGCGATTTTCACTTTTCGAAGAGAAATAAATACACTAATTGAGCATTTATTGTGCATGAAAATAAATATTTTTTAAAAATTAAACATATAGTCTAAGGATCCGCAGAGATAGAAACATGATTTATGGAATTTGGCTCTAAAAAAAAAGCACAAACAGCACTAACTCACGATTTAAAAAATAAATTACTATGAAATGCGATCATGAATTCATGTAAAAATTATACAAAAAATAGAGGTTTTTTAAAGAGAGTTGTAGAAATACATTTTCATATAGTTGTACTTATAAAAAAAGAAACCAAATACATGTTCTTGGCTTTGCTGACGGCGGCGAAGTTCGCCTGTCAGAGCTCGCTGAGCCTTCTTTAAGGTTGGGCGCGCGTCATTTTAGAAAATTGTTGATTAAAAACAAAAACAAAATTAAAAACATTACATTTTTATACAATGTTTTTATGTTAAGTTATGTTTCTAAAAATAATAACGTTCTAATTTACAAACTTGTCAGTTTCACCGTGCCACAGTCTAAAAATTACAGTATTCATTTGAGTACGGTTGAAATCTCTATTGTTGGTATAGTCAGGTACATTTAAATTGTGTGGAATTCAAGAGTAATATAAGTTTATTTGTTGTTATTTTGCAGCACTTGAATGAGACGATGGAAATCCACAGGCGTAGTTGAGACCCTACAGAAATCAATTTCTATTGATCATAATACTAGCTACTATAGGTATATATAGATGTGGAACTAACGGCTGTTTTAGTTTTGTCGTGTAAAAATTACAATGACATTATTTTCAGTGAACAAGAAATCATTCAATATGTGACATTGCATAAAGCAAATTGTTCTAAAAGAAAACATCTATAATAAAAAAGAAAATCTTATTTGTGTAAAAAACGTAAACAGGAACATGGTTGCAGAAATTATCCAGCATATGGTAAATTTTAACACAAATGCAATAAAATGAAGTGATACAGTGTAGGGGGCTAATAAAAGTGAGCACAATTTAAATTTAGAAGATGTTAACAATAGTGTACATAACTTATTAGTAGTTTGCTCTTTAGATCTTAACAAAAATGAATGGACTGAGTTGTTAAAGTTATTGCAATAAAAGATCACAAAAAGATTGTGGATGACGAAAATAAAATAAAATTGTTTGAGATAAAAACTTTAGTGATGTTTTCGAGGTTCAAAAATAAAGCTCTTGTGACGTTGGGAGTCTATATAAATAATGCTCAGTTAAATGTGAATACAGACATAGTTTTATAGTTCCTCAAAATCAGCTCCAGGGCCTGATAGTATACCATTTAAAGTATTTAAAAAATGACCATCAGTGCGTAAACACTTTATAAGTATATTCTGCAAGATCTGGTCTGCAAACGAAATACCAACAGTCTTCGGAAAAGCTAATTTTTCTTCATTCCTACGAAAAGTCCAAAGACACTAAACCGATAGCCATTACCAATACAATTTTGAAAATATTTTTCTCCTGTCTCAAACTCAGAAAGAGTTCATGCTCGGAATGTCTGGATTTCTGGAAGATAACTCATTACTTTACTTGCTGAAAATCTCAAAGATGCTAGGATAAATGAAAGGCAAAAACCAGTCTGTTGGATAGATTTAGAAGATAACTTTGGCTCAGAACGACACGAGCTAGTTAGTTTATTTAATAGTTTGTGAAATAATTGCATCATAGCAAACTAAAATTTGTAATCACAGCAAAATATGGACATACAAAACCCCGTATATATATATATATAAAACATCACCACACGAACACTTAACAGCCTTACCTGCGTCATATATCATCCATATTAAAAAGATGTTTAAATTATACATGCCATAACTGTTTTAGAAATATTAGTTTTACAAACCGGTTTTTTACAAGATTCATTTTTTCTCATCCGAAACAAAAAAAAACTACTAGAAATATCAGACCCAGAGTATACAGCCAAACACACTAGCAAACTTGTGTTTGAAAATAACGCCTAATTTCTTACAATACAGTTTTCCTAAGATTACAGAAACATCAAAGAAAATATTTATCGTCGGAAAACAAAATGAAAACCTATTTAACTGACAGTATTCAACATGTGCATCCTTTACAAGTATTTGTCTTCGAAGGTCAGTGATGAATTATTTATAAACGGTAAAATGAAATGTCAACCCTCGTGATAATTGAGTGACCTATTCAATAAATGCAAACAAGTTCTTAATACGTGATTTTAAGTATAAATTTATTGATCTTTTCATAATAATCTACTTATTTGTTTATCTTTTTACTCGAAGTTACTAATGACATCAAGTGTATGGTTTTTTCCACTCAACGAAAAAATTTAATTGCTTAAAATGGTTTATCATTTTTGAGGTAAAAAATAGATATGAAAAATGAATGAACACTTCACTATAAGTTGAAAATAGAAAAACCTTCAACTTAAGTGCACCAGGTTTCCGGAGGGGAGTTAGGGTCCCCACACTCCAAGATGTGTTCAACTGTTTAGGTGAGCTAAGTTTATTAGAGCCATTGCAGGCGTGACCATGAGAACTTGTAATGAACTGTATTCTACATTGAATTAATTCAATATTTTTTTACGAAAGTCATATCTTTTTCATTCACTTTCAGCCCTTATCAATAACTAGTTGGTCAACTCAATTTACAGTTTGTTTGTAATGTGGCGACATAGCAACATGCCAGCGTTAACCAAGTGTTGATTGCTGACCGTAGCCATGCAATCGATTGTCGGTGACAACAATTATCGTTTGAAGGGCAATTGTCTAGGCAAGGTTAGTGAACCTTGAATAGACAATTGCCCTTCAAAGGATAATTGTGATCCAATTTGACGAATCTGTTTTTATAAAAAACACATGGGCTGAGCTATCCCGACTTAACAAACCAAAGTGTTGAATAATATATCTATGGACATATATAATATCTATGGACATGCCTGACTGAAGATACAGGGAGCATATTAGAATAAGATATCTTATTCTAATATGCGTATAAAACGTATCTTTTTAACAAAAGAGACAAAATTATTTCAAATATCTATAAATGTCTTTGTTTAGATTGCTTTTCTAAGGAGAGGCCTGTGTCCAGCAGTGGACTAATAAAGGCTGATGATATGAGATTTCTTTCTTACGGAGCATTATATTAAGGAGACCAACTAGGTCATAGCATACTTAATTACGCACCCAATAACCCCCGAGGACGCTGATATATGACGTGTATAAAAATAACGATGTTCCGTGTGGTAGTTTTATCACTCGGCCCGGTCGAACCGGCCCATATGTGTTGTACATGACTCTCCCACGGCACGCATGGCTATCCCATGGTACAACAACACAAATCTGAATTTATTAAACATTTTTTAGTGGAACCAAAATTAAAAGATTACTAAAATAAAAAGATACCTGGCTATAAGTGACATGGCAACAGGAAAAGTTGACATAGTTTTTCCTCCCAGTAGATAATCCTTGACATCCTTTATCGAGTTATGCCTGGAGCCTATGGCACTATACCACATGCCACCTGTACATGACACTACGCATAGTATGCCAAAAACTACGTAGTCTACCATGCTGAAGCCTCCTTCTTGCATTGTAAATGCCACCATTGTGATGCCTGAAACCAAAATTAAATGGTATAGTACGAGTTTTAAACTTACAATAGTCTACTTTTCAACTCATAAATTTGACTACCGAGCTGTAAATGAACGGAATTTAAAAGCCATTCAAACCTATTTGAAATTCCTACACATCTTTAATTAAAGGAAGTTAGGAATGTGTTTCTTCTTAATTGGTTTATAACGGTATATTACGGAACAAGTTTTTAAAAACAATGCTAAGTATGTTTTAAATTGCGTTAATTTTGTACCTACTCTTCTGACAGATTAACGGAAAAAGCCCATAGTCATAAATAGTCGTAAAAATACCATTATTAAGTCTAAATCGAAGAAGAATCTAGAAAGAAAAGAATCTAACTTTTTTTGGTGTAACAAAGGTTTACTTTGATTTTTTAAATAACTAGCTGAAAGGCTAAAAGGTGTTACCCACGGCTTATCAATTCCTTGCTCGACCCGAAACACTGCATTTTTCAGGATAAAAAGTAGCCTTTATGTAAATCCAAAATGTTATCTTCACACCAAATTTTATCAGAATTTGTCCAGTCGCTTGAGCGTGGAGAAGTAACAAACATACAAATACACACACTCACAAACTTACGCCGCTATAATATTAGTGCGATAATAGTGCCGAACTAGGCAGTAGGCACTATTATCGCACTAATATTTTATGTATAGTATTTTAAATTAAAATACTACATATAATTCACTAACGTCAATATCTCCATAGGGGTAGGCAGAGGCATATTAAACGGTCACATTTTGCCAACTATAATTTTAGTCCTAATGCTATCAACCAGCAATTTTGAAATTAGATTTAGATTTAGAAGGAGAGGAAGATAAGAATGAATGCAATAATTGGAAAGGGATTTACGGATTATTCGAAAAATGTGTAACGCAATAATAGTTCAGGATCGCATATCTGTAAATCGAATTGGCTTTTGCTGGAATATCCGGACAATTTAACCGGTTATTACAGAGTAGTATAATTTCATTTTAATTCCTTATAACGTGCAAGACCCTCATCGCTTTTACTGTAAGGCTGGAGAATCTAAATCTTTTAAGGTATAAGTTACTAACTACATAATTGCAACGACAAAAAAAAAGTAAATTTAATACTTACTTTACGACAAACAAGATTATTTCTATAGTACGATAAAGCTAAAGTCTACATATGAAGGCTGTCTCAATAAGAGTGCACTTTTTAAATTTAGAATCTTTTTTTGTGCAAGTGGTAACTCCGAAATTTGACAGCTGTCACCTATGTTTATTCCGATTATTAAAGCTCTTCAAAAGAAGAAAGAAAAATAGCGAAAGTTACGATGAATCCGCTCGCAAACTTCGCCAAATTTTCAGTTGAGAAAGTGCACTTAATGTGTCAACCATTCGAAGAGTGGTCAAAAAATTTGAAAAAACTGGGTCGATTATGGATATTAAGAATCCTTTGCGTCAACGTACTGGTCGGTCTTTTGAAAACATTGCTGCTATAAACGAGTGTCGCCGAAAACCCGAAAACATCAATTCGTCATCGTTCTCAACAACTTCAAATTTCACGAAGCACTACGCAGCGAATTTTAACAAAAGACCTCAACGTGCGTACAATATTCAGCTAACTCATTAGCTCAAACCAGCAGATCATGGAAAGCGCCAGCAATTCGTTCAATGGGTAATGAAAGTGACGTCGATACCAATTTTTCGAAAAAGTCATCTTCTCCGATTAAGCGCATTTCGATCTGAATCGCTATGTGAAAACAAAAAATTGAATTTGGGGCTAACAAAATCCTCATGTAATCTATGAGAAACAAAAGCACCTACAACCAGCAACTATCTGGTGCGGACTTTGGTCAGGCGACGTGATTGGACCTTACTTTTTTGAAGATGAGGCCGAAATTGCAGTGACTGTGAACAACATTCGGTACAGGAATATGATAACGGAGTTCTTGTGGCCTCAACTGGACGGCATGGATCTGGACAACATGTGGTTTCAGCAGGACGCCGCCACCTGCCACACCGCGCATGAAACAATCGACTTATTGCAGCCACGATTTCCAGAACACATTATCTCACGAAATTCTAATGTCAACTGGCACCAAGATCTTGCGCTTTAACGCCTGGGTTGTTTTTTTTCTTGAAGTTTTGTGAAATCTCGGGTTTATTCGAATAAACCAGAAACAATTCCTGAGCTCAAATCAGAGATCCAACGCGTCATCGGTGAGATACAGCCACATCTCTGTGTAAAAGTCATGGCAAATTTAATGAAAAGAGTAATGGCCTCTCATCAGAGCCATGAGGGCCATTTGTCAGATAGTTTATTCCATACTTAATCAGAACATGTCTTCTTTACAATCCAATAAAAATGCCACAACTCTTTCATAAAATATGTGTTTTTATATTTAAATTAAAAAGTGCACTCTTACTGAAACAGCCTTTACATATATATATACTACTTGTTTGTAAATAACCTCTTCTAATGTATTGTGCAACAATGTCGTGATCTGAATTGTGAACATTGTGAACGGCTTATTGCCGATAAATGCAATTTTAAATTATATAAGTTGAAGAAAAGCATTTAACAGTGCTTTGCAATAAATGTGGTGGTATTGTTGAGGTATGTTATTGTCACCAGATGTTTTTGCTAGAGGTTACCAACAAAAGGTTATTGGAACCGAATGATAAATAACCATAATTTTAACCTTGCAGATTTTTTAACATCGTGGAAGGATTCAGAACAGTTTGATACACTTAGAAGAACAATAAAGTAACATTCAATTAAATAACTTTTCCATCAATCTTGTTTCACTAGCCCCGACTGCAACAATATGCAACATGTTAGTGAAATAATCAAGAATTGATCAATAAAACTTATTAATTTCATGGTTGTTAGTATTTTCACTTATATACGCAGTTGTTTGTGTCTTTAAATATATTTAAATACGATGAAAAGGCTAAAAACTAAGATAATCTAATTGTGACGTTGGATTATTAAGAAAGTCAAGCCAAACTACACATTAAATCGTTAATATCATTTAGTTCATTTTAAAATCATCAAGTCTACCTTCACATCAACAGCCTTTAATAGTTTACTGCTGGACATAGACCTCTCCTTAGAAAGGAGGTTAGGGAATTGTCGTTGATATGTACGATATCAAATATGATAGCACATACACAAATAATTACACACTCACATACACACAAAAACACTGAGTCACACACACTGACATCCATGAATACATAGGTGGATACCCACTGATTTATCAACCGCTACACAAATAATTTTCAATTTTGCGAGTTTCTCTTATCAAGCAACAAACATTTGTAAATAACAAAACAATACTTTCTTGTTACGTATTTTTATGGTACATTCAATGGTAAACATAATAAAAGAATGATTACTATTTATATCACTCATTTTAATGACTATAGATTTCAGGTAATATTTTATAGATTGGGCTGGATTTTTATCACAAATCCAGCCTAATGAAAATCCGTTTTAGCAGTTACTTTAGATTTTAGACCTACATGGTTCACCTAGTCCCACGTGGTCCCATAGCTAAGATTTTGTACACATGGTTTATCCAATTTTTTATATTATTGGTAATTTTATGTACTCGTATAATACATGGGTGATATGTGGTAATATCAATGTACTTGACTGACTTGAACATAGAAGTAAACGCATTTCTTATATTTATGTAATATAAATCATTGTTCTGTATGAAGGCATACGAAGACAATTTATTCCTAATTATTTATTAACCCAAAAAGCAAATAAATAAATAAATAAATAAATAAATAAATATAGTGATATGGTTAATTGGCTTTAAAGCTATATCTTTCAACTTTTGTATAAACCCCAACCCTGTACTCTGTATATCTCATGTCTCTAGTCGGCTTGGAAATCTGTGATCGATCACGGTTAGTCTCCAACGGCTAAGATTTTCAGATGTTCATTCTCGAAAAAAAAATAAGTTTGAGTTTTAAATTTGAGCATATGGTTTAGTAAATAGGCCTTTGCGGCGTATGTCTAATTTTATTATAATAGGTTTATCGGATATTGTGGTAGACAAGTTTTAAAGACGGGTAAAAATAGCATATTGTCTAAATATAATACTCCTGGAGTGCTTTGACCTCAAGAACGCACATTGCTCGGAACTAGTTTTCAAAACTACTATGAAAACGATGTTTATGAAACACCCGAAGCGACAATAGTTGTAATTTTAATAATACACAAGTAATTAAATATAAAAAATGTGCATCGTGCAAAATGCAAAATGAACGTACATACTTAATTAAATAGAGGAGGTCTACCTGTGCAAGTGTGCCTGCGCAGGTAGACCGGAGCGTGTTTTGCAACGGCCTGTGCAGTCTTTAATCTACACAGGCGAGAAAAGCAACTTTAGCAATCAATTTTTTTGATCGACACCGTACGGCTGAAGATTTCTCCGGTAAACCAGATTGTCCCACATAAATTAAGACATACGGTCCAGCTTTACAGGTAGAAGCCTCTGGTGAACCTTTAGCAAACCGTAGCGTGAGTGGCCGGCTTAACTATGTATACAAATTTATTTTTTTAATCAACTTTCAATTATCGTATCGAAATAAAACTTTACAGGTTTATCCCATTTGTTCAAAGCCAATTTGTCCCATTTGTTAATGAATCCCATTTGTGTCCATATGTTATACGAGTATACAGATCAAACCCCGATTTCCGAGTCGATGTTTTTTTTGTATCCCTTTTAATGGCTTTGTAGCTTTTTGTAATGATCAGACAATGTCGTCCGAAATAAACAACCTTTGAACAAGTTAAC